ATATATGCATACATTTGACACAGGGTTTCCCTGTAGCCCCAATGGGCCTGGAACTTGATATGTAGACCAGGCTGGCCTTGAATTCACAAAAATCTACCTGCCTCTACCTCCTGAGTGTTGGGACTAAAGGCATGTACCACCATGCCTGGCAACAGTCTTTATATTTTACTAATAAAATGAAATCGGCAGGGGCTGGAGAGATGTCTCAGAGGCTAAGAACACTGGCTATTCATGCAGAAGACCCAGGTTCAAATCCCAGCACCCACATGGCAGTTAACAACTGTCTATAACTCCAGTTCCAGGGGATCCCACAGCCTCTTCTTTCCTCCGTGGGCATTGCATGACATGGGTGCACTTACATGCATGCAGGCAATACATGCATACATGTAAAATAAAATTAATAAAATATTTTAAAAAACTGAAATGGACAATACTATAGTGACTCCTACTGTCCCATTTCCATTTTGACACATTAAAATAAAGAGTAAAAATTGCCTGTATTTACAAGGCCTATACATTTCAGATTTCTTTTGTTTCTATTCTACTATTAATATTGTGTAACATAACAAAGAGAAATTTGTTAAGAGAAAGTTTAAAGAAATATTATATTGTTATCTAATTTTTTCTATAGCATGGCTTTCCATTTATGTCTCCAAAATAAATTTGGAATAATGCCAAAATAAAGAAAAACAGATCAAGTCGTTATCTACTGATAAGATTTAATGATAATTTAGGTATTAAATACCATTTTTTTCCTGTAAATTAGAACTAGCTACTCTATCTAAATTCATGGCTGTAAGATCCAGTTGGACAAAAGAAAAACTAAGGTAAAAATGACAGATTGTCCCAGACGTCTAAATATGAATAACATAGTTCATACTGTACAAATAACTGTAAATACAGGGGTAAATATATATTCAATCTAGTTTATTTAAACATGTAAATTTCGGTTGTTTAAAATATGTTTTTCCCACCAGATGGACTTGAACCAGTGTCCATTCTATAAAGAGGAGGGTCAACATGGAGGAATCATTTCCTCCATGCTTCCAAGAGAAGCGAGCAGGACCTTTGACTTATCCTCACATGGATGGAGCTGGTAAAAGAAAGGAGCCAGGGGCTCCTCCCAACTCCATGGGACCCCTGAGGAACAAATCCTCTAATGACCTCAAGAGTAAAAACAAATCACTTTATCTGTTCCAATTGTATGTCCTTAAACACCCAAAAGGGAAGTGTAACCAAAGATTAAAGGGGCCAATATAATTTCGTAAGAGCATACATATATAACTAAAAGCTACTTGACAAACAGCAAAGCCAGACAGGCGATACCTTCTTTCGAGTTGTTGGCCAGGATGGATAAAGGCTCTTCCAGATAGTAACCCAACATACTACTGGAAAAATGAACAGCAGACCCCAATTCTATCCAAAGGAATACTGACAATGGATTGCCATAGATGAGGAACAGCTCATCCTCCTGGAACAGGGACCTCTGGCTCACTAGATTTACCAGAAGGGCAGATAGGGGGGAATGGATGGGGTGCTGACAGCACAGTGGACAGTGGCAGGGATAGCAGAGTGTGGAGACTCTAGTGGGAGAGGAAGGTGGTCTACCTGACGAGTTTGTATTAATGCTCAGATGCCAAGGAGCTCAGAAGGTGGGCAACTGTGACTGTGTGATATTCATGTACATAGAGATTAGAAATGCATGTGAAAACATCTCAATGTCAATAGCCTTGGAATGAATTTTTCTGTATGAAACTGTGTGTTTTGACAATGAAGTGGAGATCTTTTTTAAACGTTGGAACCTCATTTAATTTTATGTCTTATAGAGTTTACAATGAGTTAAAGATTATATAAGCGTAATAATTCATCTGTAAACCTAAAAATGTACAGCCAATTTTGAAAGAGATGCACCCTAGCTCAGAAAAATGTTATTGAATAGGTTAATGCTGTTGTAATGAAATGCTTCTTCTAATTAAAAAAAAAAGAATTGCATTGAAGATAGCTTTGGGCAATATGGCCACTTTAACAATATAAATTTTCCTGGTACGTGAAAAAAAAAAAGTTTATCGTTTTGGGACAGGGTTTCACTCTGCAGTTCTGGCTGGTCTAGAAATCATTTTGTAGACTCAGCTGGCCTGGAACTCCCAGAGATCCACTTGCCTCTGCCTCCCAAGTGCTGGAATTAAATATTTTCACCACCTTGCCCAGCCATGAAAAATATTAGTCAGTTATAACTATTAATAAAATGAATATAAAGCTAATGGCTATACTTAAAGTAGATATTGTGTTTCTGAAATTAAAGTTTCCTTTTGGAAAAAAAATATGTTTTTCCTTTATCTGTCAACTTTACTATATTAGTTCAAATGGTGTTCTTTATTATTTAAATTATAAGTATAATAATTCTAATATATGTCACATGTAAATGTTATGTCATGTACAAAGGGCAGAATAGAAAAAGTCAGATGAGATCATGGTGCTGATGGTTTTGATATGACCCCTGACTGTCTTCCTTACTGGCTTTACCAGCTACCACTCTCTTGTGAAGACTGCTCTTCATGCCTCCTATGCAGTCTCAGCTCCATTGGATCCCAGAAAGCATTTCATAGAAATATTGAAGACTGGTATTTAACGAACAAAACGTGGCCTCCAAATGCACACAATGTGATGTGTGGCCAACAGGGGAGTGTAAATGAAAGTTCCCAGAAAAAATATAATGTAATATAAAATTAAAGTAATGGATCCTTCTGCAAAGGTGACTCACCGATTACAACTTCTTTCACTGTGGAGAGTTAGAATGTCGCAGGTTCAGAACCTAGTTGCAATTTGTCCTGAGCTGTTTTCTGCCCCCTAAATAGCCATTTCCTTGCTCAGTTCTGTATCAGACCCAGCATCCTGTGGTGAATAGAAAAAAAATTCTTTTGGAACAGAAAACTAGTTTCCGTCAGTAAAAGGGCTAAGAAAGCCATGAGAGAGTATCTCAGGCAAAATTCTTCCACTTGGCTGTATCTTGCTTTGCCCATGTCTCCCCAAAGTATTTGAAAAATCTCTTGATTGATGACTTTCTCTGCTATGTTAACATTAAAATTTCATGAGACTCTTACTCCATTCATACACAGAAGTTGGGGTGGCCTCAATCTTTGTTCTTGGGCCCCAATCAGTCATATTTTGCCCCAGAATAAAATATCCCTTTTCCCCTTAAGATGAGAGTCCTGTTTTTACTTTGATAACTGAGACCTTTCTGTTACTGAGCCTGTGTCCCTCCTTGATTCCTTCCATCTTGGGCTCTAAACAGAGCCCATGTCCCCTCTCTGGGTCTTTTCCATCACAGAAGACCCAGTCAGTCTTGGAGTTCTCCACATCCTACCCACTCCCAGGAAATGGTCTCCTCACCTGGGAGTAGGAGTCCCCATGGGGGGACAGGCCATTTGAGGAGAAGGGCTGAGGGAGGTCCCATGGTCTCTGCTGTCTTCTCTGTTCTCCTCGGTGGAGAAGAGATCCTGCTCTGGCATGGCTGCCAAGCCCCACTGCTGTGATGTCAGCTCTGCTGTCCTCCCAGAACTGAGATTCTTCCCAGAGGAGAGCACCTTCCAGAGTCATCAGGCTGTGAACAGGGTCTGTGTCACTGTTGTCATGCTGTCCCTTCCCTTCCCAGTGCCTGCCTCTCATCTCTCTCTCCCACTTTCTGTTTTTATGGCTCAGTCTTCTAGAGCACACTTTGGGCAACAAGGCTGATAGGGTTGCCTTCCTCTGAGAGAACAACAGCTCACCCCAGAGCTGATTTCTGCTGTTATCTGCCTTGTGCCTTCAGCATCAAAGAGGGAGTCTTGTATTCACTATTCCTGAAGGTGTATTTCCTTTCATGACACACAAAATGAGCTGAGTTCTCTGTCTTCCCTGTGTTCTCAATGTACTAAAAAGGTAGGATTTACTCCCAGAAGCAAGGGGACAGAGTGTCACTGGGGGCTGGAAAAAGACCAGATGAGTGTGACTGGGAAGGGGGTTGGATCCATTATCACTGGTGTCACCATTCATATGACAGAGGGCCAGAGCAGTTGGCTCACAAATTTCGTGTCCTGGGCATGAAGGAGGAGGTGACCTGTGTGCCATGGAAAGATGACTATTGGCTCTATCATGCTATAAAAGGTTTTAAGAAGATCCTTCAGCTTCCTATGCTGGCTGAGTTGTGGCTCTGATCTTGCCCATGTTCTACCTGACTTTGCTAGTATGCTTTTTTTTCTCTGCCTTGGTGATTCCTCAGGAGAGAGAAGGAGGCTGCACAGGATCTGTGACTGAAAAGTGTCCTTGGAGACATGGAAAGGACCCAGTAGGGTACAGCATGCTTGTGGGAGGGAATGCCAAGTCTGTTCAGACAAATATGAAGCCAGGGTGCAAGTCAAATTCATGTCTCAGGGATGAAATAAGAATCCTGTTGTAGCCATCTATGACCGAATGTTGCTCCTGTGGTTTGGTGCTGATGGGGGAATGAGTGCTGGAGCAGGCAACCAGCTGCAGCTCCTTTAAGCAAATTTCCCTGGATCCCTCTCTGCCTTGGTCCTGGTGTGGCACTGTGCATGAAGCTTAGCTTCTCAGCATGGGGATTTCAGAGAGCATTGGGTGGGGAGTGTGGGATTGCAGCTGGAGATGTCAATCAGTGCCTCTGTCAGGACATCTACAGTCTGTGTGTCCCTAAGATTCCTGAGCCACAGTGTAGAAAAGCAGGAAAAATCGGACTCTCGTTTATCTTCATTAATTAGCAGTTTCCAGGGACAGTGGTGAATCACACTGTGATCTCTATTTGAGAGTTTGAAGCTGGAGGATAATATGGTTTTAATTGAGGGCTGAGGTTTTTAGCTCAGTGGGAAGTACATGCCCATCATGTGGGAAGCCATGGATTCCAGCTGTGCATTCTAATTCTGCAACACTTTGAGAATCTCAGTAAACCAACATTCAATTCACAAACATATTAGCAAATGCTTCTGTCTCTGTCTCTCTCTCTCTCTCTCTCTCTCTCTCTCTCTGTCTCTGTCTGTCTCTCTGTATGTGGTGCCATGGTAATCAAATGGAGTTCAATGGATAACTTTCATGAATCAGTTGTCCCCTTCCACAGTGAGATCCAGGAAACCAACAAGTGAATTCTGGTCATCAGCCTTTGGGACAAATGCATTTACCTGCTGAGCCATGCCAAGGACTGAATCTGCTTTTTATATGTAAGGCCAAAGTAGATGAAGCCTTTCCCCATCCCATACTCTGGATGCTGTGACCATGTATCTGGAACTCTCAGTCAGTGCTCATAGAGTAGAGTGAATGAGACTTAAAACAATCATTGATTCCTTTTCCTTCAGATGGCACATTGGATGTCACTACTTCCCTGGACTATCCAGAACTACATAAGGATGAGCTGGGTGGGATCAAGAATCAGCCAATCCCTGGGAGTAGAAGTCAACAGTTAGCTGAATAGGTACTATGTGATTTCTGAGGTCCTAAAAAGCCTCATAATAACCAGTAGAGCCATCAATAGTCCCATAGGCTGCAGTTGCTGTTTACAGGTCTGATACCCTGCCTATTGGTCCAGTTGGTAACTAATTCCCCACAAGGGAATGCTACTCATTCCACCTTGAGCCAGTCTCCAAGGATAGCAGTTCCCAAGATGCTCCACAGAACATTCATGTTTATTTCTCAAGATTAAAGAGTTAAAAGTTTGAGGAAGATATAGAAAAAGAAAATAGAGTAAATCAGGTTTGAATTTGGTTTTGAGCTGTATCTGATTATGCATGCTTCTAATCCAGAGGTGGAGAAGGGGATCAGGAATTTAAGGCCTTCTGTGTCAGAATAGGGAGTTCCAAGCAAGTGCAACGTAGAGAAATCCTGTCTCAGGGAGAGAGGGTTTCAAAGGCTCAGTTACCAGCATATGCTAGAGTCACTGATGGACCACAGGAGTATCCTGGGCCATTGCTGAGTGCATATCAGAGAGCACGTCCATGTGAGCAGGACCACTCATGAAGGATGCAAGCATGGGTAAATGCACCTGTGCCTATCTCCTTCCACGGGGAGAAGAGCAGCCATTTTGAGTTCCAGGGGGAACAGAGGATGGTGAGAAGTACAACAGTTTATGGCTGTTTCTCATGCCCACATGAGACCCTTGCTAGAATCCTCAACAGCACAAAACAAATAACCAAAAAACAAAAGAAGGCAAAAAAAAAACAAAAAGGGGAGGTCGTGAGGAGGAAGTGGAGGGAGAACAGCTGATGTCTGGAATGGTGTAAAACCAGACTGCATACTCGGTACCTCTGTAAATTCTGAGATGCCCTCCTGTTATACCCACAAGTGGTGAAAACTTCAGGAGCTGGAATAATAGGAAGTTTATCAGAATGTCTATGATGTCACTAGGGTTTGGGAGCACCTAACACTCTGGAGACTGAGGCAGGAGGGTCTAGAGTTTAAGGCCAGTCTAGGCACAGGTTTGTGGTGGTGCATGCCTTTAATCCCAGCACTCAGGAGGCAGAGGCAGGCAGATCTCTGTGAGTTCAAGGCCAGCCTGGTCTACATAGTGAGTTTCAGGACAGCTGGGGCTACAGGGAGACCCTGTCTCAAAAAGACCCTCCCCCCAAAAAAAAGTCAAAAGGAGGAGGCTTTAGAGATGGCTCAGCAGTTAAGAGCACTGGCTGTTCTTGAGGAGGGCACAGGTTCAATTCTCAGCACCCATGTGTCAGCTAACAACTATCCATAACTCAAGTTTTAGGGGATCCAACACCCTCTTCTGACCTCTACAGGCATTGCATGACAGGGATGCACTTACATACATGTAGGTCCTATGCTCATACACATAATATAAAAATAATAAATAAAATAATTTTGAAAGTAAAAAACAACCAGGCATAGTGGCACACCCCTTCAGTTCAGCACTTTTGAGGCAAAGACAGGCAGATCTGTGTGGGTTCAAGGTCAGCCTGCTTTCTCTAGGGTGTCCCAGGTCAGTTATGCCTACATAGTGTAACCTTGTCCCAAAATAAATATTAAGTACTTTCTGGAAAGCCAAAACAGGCAAAAGAGGGAACACCAAGCACATCTGTAATTTCTATGTAATTTTCTTTAAGGGTGGGACAAGGGTGAAGGAAAATTCAGTCACTGGTTATGGACTAAGAATGTAGCTTAGTTTGTACAGTTTACCTAGTATGCAGGAGGCCTTAGGTTGTATTCACAGTAGTATATAAACCAGACATTTTATTATTTAGCTATAATCCTAGGAGAATCAGAGTTCAAGTTCATCCTGAGCTACTTGGGGACTTCAGGGCTGTTCTGGGCCCTTTCTCTTATGTGTCCTTATGTCAGAGAAAAAAGTCAGCCCTGTTTAATGTCTGATTGTTGAGGTTGATTTGCTAGGAGCTAAAGGATTGTTGTACACAATGTTGTAGTGGATTTCATACTCCGTTTTTCCTTTTTTCCTCCTTTGACATGGTGCATCTCTTACAGCCAGGCTTGACCTCTGGAGTGCTTAGCTTACAGCACTGTGACTTATGCACTATCCCTCTCCTCTTCCCTTTTCTCCTTTCCCTTCCC